ATTCTAGATTCATTACATGTAAAGTAAAACATTTTTTTTTATTTTTTTTTTTATTTTTATTTTAATTTTAGAACTTACAGCTCATAAAAGTAAAAAATCTAGTATCTCAAAATATTAAAATATTTACATTTGAGTGTCATTAAATGACCATCCCTACATTATAAATTCTGAGTATCTCTTGTTCTTTGAAACCACAATAATGGGGAAGACTGCTGACTTGGCAATAGTCCAGAAGACAATCATTGACACCCTCCACAAAGAGGGTAAGTCACAGAAGGTCATTACTGAAAGGGGTGGCTGTTCACAGCGTGCTGTATCAAAGCATATTAAATGCAAAGTTGACTGGAAGGAAGAAAATGGGTAGGAAAAGGTGCACAAGCAACAGGGATGACCGCAAGCTTGAGAATACTGTCAAACAAAGCCGTTTCAAACACTTGGGAGAACTTCACAAGGAGTGGACTGAAGTCAGTGCATCAAGAGTCACCACGCTCAGACGTCTTCAGGAAAAGGGCTACCAAGCCACTTCTGAAACAGAAACAACGTCAGAAGCATCTTACCTGGGCTAAGGAGAAAAAGAACTGGACTGTTGCTCAGTGGTCCAAAGTCCTCTTTTAAGATAAAAGTAAATTTTGCATTTCATTTGGAAATCAAGGTCTGGAGTTTGGAGGAAGACTGGAGAGGCAAAGAATCCAAGCTGCTTGAAGTCCAGTGTGAAGTTTCCGAAGTCAGTGATGATTTGGGGTGCCGTGACGTCTGCTGGTGTTGGTCCTTGTGTTTTACATTTACATTGAATAATTTAGCAGACTTAATCATTTAGCAGAGAATGGAATAGAATAGGTAAGCGCTAGTATTAGTTCGTCAGGTGCTGGCGAAAAAGATGTGTCTTTAGACATTTTTTGAAAATGGCCAAAGACTCAGCTGTTCGGATTGAGAGGGAGGTCATTCCACCAGCTGGGCACAGTCCAGGAAAAGGTCCGTGATAGTGATTTTGTGCCTCTTTGGGATGGCACCACAAGGCGTCGTTCACTTGTGGAACACAAGCTTCTGGAGGGCGCATAAGTTTGAACTAGTGAGTTTAGGTATATTGGTGCAGCGCTAGTTGTTGTCTTGTAGGCAAACATCAGTACCTTGAATTTGATGCAAGCAGCTACTGGTAGCCAGTGCAAACTGATGAAGAGAGATATAACATGAGCTTTTTTCGGCTTGATAAAGGGGTCCTATTATGCTTTTTTACAAAGTCTTGATTTTGTTTTGGGGGTGTACTAGAACAAGCTCTCATACTAGGTTGTTCGAAAAAAAAAAACATTATTTTTCACATATTTTATATTATTACAACACCTCTCTCCCCAGTCTGGCATGAATGGCTCGAATAGTTCCTGTATCAAATGAAGGCCTGCCTTCTGAAATACGAAATGTGCTGTGACTGGTTAGGTGGGCCAGTGTGTGTTGTGATTGACAGCACTCGGCGCCTGGTCAGGAAATGTCATGCCCCTTACCATAGCCACCTGCGAGCTTCAGTGTAAATATTGCGTCAAGATCAAATCAATTTGAGCCCGATTTAAACTCGGATGATTGTAACCACTCTAAGTTTGTCTGCCTTGGGAAAGCTAGCATGTCTCCGACATAGTGATAACACTCATTGCCTTCTCTAGTGCAGCTCAACCAGGTCTCGTCCCATTCGTCAGTATTTGTGATATCACAAATCCCGGAAAATATGTGTTGTAGTCCAAACGAGTCATTCGTTGTAGTTTTTGAAAAGTGATTTCTGTTAAATAAAATATCTCCTTTTGAAGTGGACTTTGAGCTTCGTCACTTTGCAGATCTTTTTTTGTAATATGCATTGCCAAGAACTTAATTTGGACAACTTTAAAGACAATTTTCTCAATATTTTGATTGGTTGCACCCTCAGATTCCAGACTTTCAAATAGTTGTATCTCAGCCAAATATTGTCCTATCCTGAAAGCTTATTTATTCAGCTTTCAGATGATGTATAAAACTTAATTTTCAAAAAATGGACCCTTATGACTGGTTTTGTGGTCCAGGGTCACATTTTTTATGCAAATCCCTAATTTTTGTATTAATATATTAATAATGGTGCTACTGAAGCCTGAAGTCATGTATGCTCCTCATCTTTCTTTGATGCTGGCCTGCCTAAATGCATGCGTGTGTTAGATTAGTTTATATGTCTTAGATTTATCCAATAAAGCCTTATTTATATGGAAAAGAGAAGTATCTTGTGTTTTGTGCTCACAAGTTAATGTCTTAAACTGCCGATCTTGTTACTATGCTAATTAATAGTGTTTTCACTATATTTTGGATATAAATATCCCTTGCAGAATTGCTGTCATACGGCTCGTTCACTGAATCGCAGGCCGTCTCAGTGATCCGCCGTAAAACAGTGATTCTGTCCTAATTCCCTTGCATATTAATGGTGGAGTTCCCTTTAAAATCTTAAATGATTCCCTTTGAGCTAAATTATTGACCTGTTTCCCTTACATGGTCTTTATGAGAATAAACAGAAGATTACATAATGTTTACAGCAATATTTTAAATATAAAATTCTCTACAAAATTCATACACAGAGCGGAGAAGAGTGGACTTGAACTAGTAAATACACACAATGCAGCTGTGAGGGATTTTAAACATATATATTTATGAATTAAGAATTAATTTTATTATTCTGTTCCCTAGTTTGTTCATTTGTGGCCATGTTGTCAGAGAGAGAATGGAAAATGAATGTGCTAAGGGAAAAATTATCTTAATGTACAGTACAACAATATAATTATTCACAATCTTCTTTCTTTTTTAAGAGAGTTATTCATCTAATGATTTCAAAAGAATATAATGGTTACTATTCCAGCTGAGCTACTTGAAGCATCACCGCTTTTTGTAGCTAAATTATATTGAATTTGTTGTCATAAAGGAAAAATGTAATGACAAATAAAGAGGACAGTCATAAATAATTATAAGAAACTGTCAAGATAACCAATCCCCTATGGTGGTTTGGATGTAACATCACACCCTTGATGGTTAAAAGTGGCTTTAAAAGATCCAGCAACCACAGAGAACAAGATGCATCAGAGGGTTAATTAAGATAATTATGTTAAGTACGTTTTTGGAACAGGAAACCTTGATTAAGTGGACCAGAGGAAGAAAAATAAAATTCTCCAAACTGTATGATATAAAATTCTGTTTGCTTGACTGACATTTATTTTCCAGCTCTTGAAATACAATAGAATCTTCGGGGACAGGTCAATTCTATAGCTACTGCTCTCTCAGAGCACTTCCACAGGGACAGTAGATTGCAGGGTCCACACTAAGGCATCTTGGATCACTCTTACATCATGACATGAAAGCTTTCTCAGTGGGTTTCTGGTACAGTGAGCAGCTCTTTAAGGTAAAACTTTAGTTGTGAGTTTTAAGGTTGTGTTCACACACAAACTTTAAAGAGCCATTAATAATTGACAACAATGACAACTTGCATTTAAAAAAAGGTAATTAATTTGATTAAATGTTTTTTACCCTCCGGGGTTGAAATCAGCATTCAGTAAACAGTATGTGAATACTGGGGATTTTTTGACATGGTCTCAAACTGGTAGTCTAGGCATTACAAATGGCATCAGTTAATACTATGAGTGTGTTGAAAGATTTATCAAATTATATGTGAATCAACAATGCTCTCAAAAATACCCACAAACACAAAATCACATTCATGTGTATTTTCAATGCCAAGCACAAATGCAATGCACATATATGAGCATTAAATTACAGATATAAAATGACATGTATGTGTTTGTGGATTGTACTATAGGCTAAAAAACAGTATATATTTGTGTGCATTTTGTTGCAGCTTTTGATACTGTTCGTATCGAGTAAATTGGCAAATACTGTAGGTCTTTTCTTATTAGAGACCTCACTAAATTGTAGCATCTGGACCAATCAGACACACCATTTTTCATTTGATTTAACAAATCAATTATTCATTAGATTAACAAACATTCACAGACCCCTCACCCAATAAACATACTGGGTGCCAAAATATCTGTGAAC